AACGGGAAAGCTCCTTTTCCCTCCCCCTTCCTTCCCTTTCACAGGTTAACATGGGATAGCCACAATTTGGTGCCAATTCTACATATTGTGATATTTGCTGCCTTTCCAATTCCCTTTTTATCCAGGTACATCTGTTCTTTCTTGCCAGTTCCTTGATGAGCCAGCCCATTCATCATAAATCCCATTAATCATGTGTTTCTCACATTTATTTAATAGAGCTGAATCCTCCTGTACATTGATTCTGGTGTTCTTTCGAGCCCTTGACCATCAGCTACATTTTCAAAGCTTCTTCCGGCCCAGATTTGTTTCTAATAATAGCAGGTACAGAGGGGCTGTGTTCTTCCCAAGCACTACAGGTGCAAAAATGGCACTGTATTCCAAGAAAGAACTTCCTCCTGGGAAGTAGCGATGCAATCTCATGATTAGCATGATGCAGTCTCCCAAACCTTCCTCTTTTATGGTAGGCTGCGGTGGGGGGGGACGGGCACAGACAACATGATTCACAAAAATAACACTGTGCTCTAGTTAGCCAGGGAAGGGAAGGGAAACATGAAGTTCAGAGCATCTTCTTGTTGCCCAGATAATCAAAACAAAGCAGTCACTACAGCAGAAGAGGCAGAATCTTATTCTCTCAAAGAGGCTATTCTCCCCTTTGACCTTCAAAGCCAGTGACCAGTGGCAGGGAAGAATACACAAGTCAGCAAGACTGCTGATGAAGGAAGCAGCCAATAGGGTTAGGAATCCCACCCACCACTGACTCCCAAATAGGTGTGGATAGCCAGTTTCCTTTCCATCATAGCCTGTGAATTAACTGGTGAATTATGCACCTCAGCGAGACAGAACAAGAGCCTGAATAAGGACCATTCCTTAGTACAGTTCTAGGGATTTTTTGGTTTTGCACATCAAGCTGATACTTCTTCTTAGAAGTTCAATCAGTGTCATACGTGCCTTTGAATCTTGTATGGTTTGGAAGGCAGCATATAAATCTTTGCTTAAGAAGAATCCTTACTTTGCAACATTTCCACCCATCAGAATTTACTTGATATTATCTTTTGCTCCCTCAAATTTGCTTGTTTTAGTATCTAGTATCTACATGTTTGTATGTACTAACAGTCTACTCCATAATATGATAAATTTGATTAGTTCAAGATTGCTTGTTAAGCTTGTATTACCTACTCAATTTATTAAACAAACAATTGATATTAGCATTCAAATAAATTAAAATCTGTACTCAATATTTTTATATGGTTAATCATTTTACTGAAACTCATCACTTATCAATAAGACTGTTTATTATCAGACAGCTGACAACAAAAAAAATCCCAAGCCTACTGTTCATTAAACACAGATAATAGACTTGAGTTTCTAAATAAGCTTCCACAAGTCACAACTGGAGTTTTTCATAGATGCAAAGTTTACATGTAGTATTAAACCTACGAAGTTTTAATTTATGTTGTGGAAATCCCTCTCAATAGTCAGGCTCTTGCTTTATTTGTTAGAAAGAAAACAAGGTTATTTCCATTCTAAATGAGTCTTTCTTAGTGCTAAACAACTTAAATGCCCAGAAATGTCATTTATCAAATGTTGGAAGTTATTGGGATTCAGCTATGCCTATAAGGTGTTTATACCTTATTTTTAAAAAGTGATCATGTCTACTTGTGTAGTAAAATACTAGATACCATGAGTAAGAGTATTAGAACACTGTCTTAAGTCACTGTTTATCAACTACAGATTAAAAAGGTCACATCATCTTACAATTTTGCACTCTAAAAAAAAGGTTAGAATTTTTCTGCTCTGTTAGGGCTGGACACAAAGCCCACCTAAAGACAACAGGAATTTTTCTTTGGGTTTCAGTGAGCTTTTCATTAGGTCCATAAAAAGATTATTATTGATTTATGTTTTTGTTAATGGAAAAGAATGATTCTTTTCCATAAAAATCTACTAACTACAACATTTTTTGATGTACAATACCGAAAGATTATGCCACACTTCTGCAATCAGAGCTTCATAGACAGATGGCAACATTCAAAGAAACCCACTGAAACCAATGGGTCCATTCACTGTAGGTCCTTCCATGAATGTAACCAGTTTTCGGGTCAAGATCTATTTATTACATTCTCCCTCATAATTATGATCTTGCAGTCCAAACAAATGTGGGAGATGAGAAGAGAATATGATAATTTATAAAGACTATACATTAAACACAGTATTGGCAAGTGTTTGAATGTTGATACTAAAATACGCTACTTTGTTATGCAAGATTGAAAAATAATATATTAAATTCTTACTAGGAAAGGAAATATACATTTAACATACTTTTCATGGTCCCATCTTCCTCTTCATCCTCATCACTATTTATCACCATAGTGCCCAAGTCCGATTCTAACATGGTACTGTTATGCTCAATCATTGTCTGAGCACCTTCACTCATTGTACTTGTAGCCCTCATGGTACCAGCACTCTCTGAACTAGTCTTCACCATGGTGTGAGAATCCAGCTCGTCTTCATCCTGCAAATAACAATTTTAGGGAATTACTTATTGCAAATATATATCCCCTCCCATTAACTTAGTTTCTTCATTTGACTGGCTATTTAATTGTTTTGCTTCATTGACCTTGAGGATTCACAAAGCCTACCTGAGTTCCTGCATCAGGGGCTGGGACACATACTTTCTGAGGAAACGATGAGGGAACTGAGCTTACTTAGTATAGAGCAGTGAGCTCCAACCTTTTTATGGTGCAGATCACTTTTTGTAAGTAAAGGGCACCCCAGTATCTACTGCCCCACCTCCTGTGCCTCCCACCCCCCCGCAACCTCTGACCCCACTCATCCAGCCTGGCCCAGGTGGCAGGGAGCGTGGCTCAGCCCAGCCACATGTGTCCTGCTGCTCCCAATCACGGCGCCTCTGACAGACTGAAATCAACTGTCAGAGGCTCCACAATTGACCAGTCAATTGAGATCAACTGGTTGGTGACCACTGGTCTAGAGAAGAGATGACAGAGGGGATATAACAACAGCCTTCAACTACCTGAAGAATGATGCGTGCATGTATTTAACAATTTCTTTTGATACAAGTGCAAAAAGAAAACTTGTTAATATTTTGTAGAAAAATATCTGTGTAGCAGATGCTTCACCACTGTTAAAAAAGAGGTAATTTCAGCAAAGGATAAAACAGCATTTTGAATCAGCAGCAGTAACATGCCAGGAATGTAAAACAGAGAACTGATGATAATCCAGTTTATGAATCATAAAATCCATATGGAATACAAATATTTGAAAACATTATTAGGAAATCCTGCTCCTTTTCTAAAGTCACATCCTCATAGCAATTTGAAGAATAACAAAGTATTACGCATCAAGTTCATATATAGGGATAAAACTATTATCCAAAGGAAAACTAAGAGTTCAAGTAATCAGAAATTTACCTGTTAATGGGAAAATTTAAGAATTTTAAGAATTTTTTTTTTAATGCAAATGCTGTTCTTAGATTCTTCAATCTTTACTTGTGAAAGTATAAATTACTCAGCTATTCCTGTGTTGAATGTGCCCTTGCATGAAATCATTTGAGCTCAAGGATAGCTAGATACCATAGAACACAATCCCTAATGAGGGAGCAAAACATCACCAACTAGAGCTAGGCAAATCAGCATAAGGGACTATCAAGTAAAACAGTTTTCATCAGAAAAGAAAAAAAGAGAAACAAAGTAACGTATTATTTATTATTATCTGTAAGGCGCAGAACATGACGTGATACAAAACAGACATGATCAAATTTGGAAAAAAATGAAGTAGAAAACAAGAAAATATTTATGGAATACTCCACCCACAGTGAGAAGACCTATTAGTAATATCTACAGTTCTGATATGCTCTACCTCATTCCCCATACTGACTGGCACAATTCTATCTTTCCTCTAGGAATGACAGGAGAATACAGGCACTTGAGTGCAATTGGCTTATTTTATCATTGGCTACCATGAGCTAATCTAGAGAGTCATGGAGAATAATACCATCACCCTGATACTGAAAATGAACTACAGCACCTCTATGCCGAGATTAGGAAGATGATGTCATTATACTTTAAGGCCTCTGGCTAATAATGCAATGTACTGGAGCTATCCTATTAACCTACATAATTATAATACATTCTAGTTCAGTTGTCTAATATTTTTTCCAAGAAAGAAAGGCTTTACAGTTTTGCTTTTCTTTTTAAATAAAATTACTTCACTCATTTTCTTTCTGGATTTCTTCTGTTGTGTAATATACAGTCCAAAACAATATCTTTCTTTATGTACCCTGAACAATTTGGAGTATCGCCAGAGGTACAGATATCTACAACATTAGAAAGATTGTGTTGATATACGAATAAGAATATTTTAACAGTGCTCCTCCTGGTGGTACATATAAAGTTAAAGTTAACTCCTACCAAGCCACTTCTGACTACAGGTTACCCAAATATTTTTCTCCTCCTAAGTCAACTATTTAAAATTTAAGCTCTTTTAGTCAGGGGCTATCTTTCTGTTATGTGTTTGTCTTCCATAATAAGATACAAATCCATAATTAGGCTCCATAGGCACCACTTCAGTGCAAAAAGAAGAATTTATAATGTAAAACAGAAATAATTAAATTGTTCAGTAAGATAATGTGCCCCAAGGATTTTAATACAAGTACCCAAATTAGTTATTCCCCATTAAATCTTCTTTATCCAAACTTGCAATATAAGTGTGGATGTAATACTATTTATTCTGTTAAATGTTACAAACAAGCTTTTCTTTTAGAATCCAGAATGGTCTCTGAAATTTAAGCAAAGGAAAGCTTCTGCAGTGTATAAGGTATTTGAGCAATATTAATATTAGTATATAAACATGTGAACCTTTAAACTTACTAACCAGAAACAGAATTCAAACAATGTAAAACAAATATTTTCAACTTTATATTAAAATGTACCATCATGGGACAACTAACAAGTAGGACAATTTTCATAACCATTTTTTTAAATTATTATTATTTTCTGCCTCATAAACTAAATTAAGATGTTTTATTGTTCATACAGAATCAAAACAAAAAGGATTTTCTGGAACCTTGAAATTTTACAGGGGAAGGAAATTACTTTCCAAGCAACTCTATTAATGACTAAAAGTTATTACCATTTTACAGCTATTGAATGATCCGCATGGTGGCTGCCATCAGGAACCTAGCACACAAGGGTCTACAATACAAAAGCCAGCCTCATAAATAGCATGAATGGCCAGTTCCTGCAGGAGCCAAAAACTGAACAGAAAGATTTAGCAAGTAGTTTAGCAACACCTTAAAAGTATTTTCTGTAGGTCAAAAATGACAGCAGTAAGAAACTGTCACTACTGCTGTCAGTTCTGCAAAAGCACACCAAATCATCAGTTTCCAGTGTTGTCATTCCGTCATTTTAGACAGGTATTAGAATTTAACTAATGGCTTATTAACTAAGCCTTTTAAATCTATTGGATGTTTCACATAATCATGTAAATACATGTTTACACAACAGATGGAAAAAATTCCTTATTACTAGTTATAACATGTAATTAACACTTCAATGTTTTGCGGAAAATCTGTTCTACTATTGAAAAACAAAATGACAAAATACTAAAGAAAATAAACAAGACGATTCTAAAATAGCAAAGATAAGATGGATATGTCCCTTCGCACAATTCCTCGTGAACAATTAACAATGTAGACAGAGATCACAGGACTGCCCAACAGTAACAGTCCTGAGATACAAACATGAGTCTGAAATTTACTTTTGATTGTACAAACTTCTGTTGTACAAAAAAACTTTGGGTGTAATCAGAAATACCAATATAGCTATGATAAAAAAACACTAACTTATTCTGTGTGCTGTACTACCATCTTTTGCAGAACCTATGGGCTCTACAGCAAATTTTTCAACGTCCTGTGCCACTATTTGGCTGCCATTTTGGATTTTCATCCCTTACTTAAGGATCTTACAGACAGTTAAAGCTTTAAAGCATAAAGGTGGCCACAGGGATCTGCTATCAGGACAGGCAGTTCAAGATGAAAAGCATGGGCTAGAGTGCACAAGATAGATAAATTACATGAAATATCAGTGGGCTTTGCAAGTCCTTCACAATTTTTTTTTCAACAAAAAAATAATCTTGCATACTCTACTGCTATAAACTTAAAGCACAACTGAATGAGCTGAAGAGCTATAGATTTAATTATGGATTTTGGTTTTGAATTTTTCTAAACAGCTGATAGCTCATTAAGTGATTAAGAGTGACAAAGAATAATTAAAACATAATAAAACATAAATAAATATTAGCAGCTCACTTTTAAAAATCTCTTAACTATACTTTGTATACAAAAAAAACCCACTAGAGGGCACCAAAGACAGCAAACTAAACTACAGTACATTAAAAGAAGATTTACTTGCTGGCAAAATTTAGTATCTTATAAAATAATTTCATTTACTATTAACACCTCATCATCACCTTTGAAAAAAGTGGCTGTAGTTACAGCTATCTTTTTGTAAAAGCACTGTGGTAACTACATAAACACATAATATACTTTGGTTGAATAAGAGTATCTGAGAAAGTTCCCAAAGATCTATAAAACCCTGGTTCAACTACAAACTTAAGGTTGTGCTTAAAGATAAGCATTTATTTAAGTCCAACCCTGTCAGCAAAGCACATAAGCACTTAAATTTTAAGAATGTACTTTTGCCCCCAATTACTCACAGTCAAACCGTATAAATTAATTTCTACATAATTTTAAACTCCATCTGCAAGTAGTCTTGATGATATACTCATAGCAATGACTACCAAGCTTAATAAAATTGTAAACTATGCAGTGGGTTTAATTTCTCTGTGTGACACACTTCCTATCTTAAACTACTGTATAGTACAATCACATATACATTATGCAGTGTTTCTACCCTTGTGATTGTGGTGTTTCAGGGATGGGTGGGATATTCTTTATACATTCCATCCCTACCTTTCAGAAATATAGTAAGGCTTGGCAATTTTATACAGCAACATACAAAGCATTATGAAGTATTTGCAATGAAAAGCTATGCTACATTATATACAATCCTATTCTGCTTTCAACAATTTTCACTATATATTTTGACATGCATTACAAAGCAAATACAAAAGTCTAGAGGACCTATTGTTTCCATATATTAGGTAAGTGTTATAAAAATGCATTAGCAATGAAACTGGGTTTTGGTTGTAGCTGTGTTGGTCTAAGGATATAGGCAGGCAAGGTTCTTTGAGTAAATGTGGTATCTTTTATTAGACCAACTGAGTAGTTGGAAGAAAGTTCTTAGCAAGCTTTCACCCTTTGTCAGGCATTAGGGAGTCTCTGCTGGTCTGAGACTCCAAGGAATGAGAGAACCTAAAAGTGTAGCAGGATGTCAGGGAAAATGTAAATAGGTGGAAATTAGAAAGACAAAAGGTAAGGCAGAGAAGGGAGGGGGAAGAAGGCAGGGGAAAGAAAAGGGAGACATTACGGTGATA